ACCTTCAGAAATGTGGGCGGCAAGTAACTGTAGCGACTGAAGAGATGCAATTACATATTGCTCAATCATTTGTTGATAATCCGCATCTCAGTTTACGTAGAGCAAGTGACGAGCATAATGTTTCTCATGAAACAGTGCGAAAAGTCTTGAAAAGTATAAAATTTCACCCCTACAAGATCCATTTGGTACAAGAGCTTAATGAAGATGATCCTGATCGTCGGATTGAATTTTGTGAAACGATGATGAACAAAATCGACGAAGATCCTGCCTTTTTATACAACATAGTTTTCTCAGACGAATCTACTTTCACTTTAAAAGGTGAAGTTAACAGACATAATTGTAGATATTGGTCCGACACAAATCCTGACTGGATGATGGACAGTCACACTCAATATCCACAAAAGGTAAATGTTTGGGCTGGTTTGCTGAATAATGCATTAATAGGCCCTTTCTTTATCGATGGTAATCTGAATGCAGCAAAATATGAAGATTTACTGAGAAATCAAATTATCCCAAGAGTAAGAGAGGTAGCTGGTGATAATTTTGTCAATACATGGTTTCAACAAGATGGAGCTGCCCCTCACTATGGTAGGGATGTTCGAGCTTATTTAAATGATCAGTTTTCTCATAGGTGGATTGGAAGAAGAGGCGAAATCGAGTGGCCTGCTAGGTCTCCAGATTTGACGCCTCCCGATTATTTTCTCTGGGGATATTTAAAGAGTAAAGTGTATGCTACTCAACCACAGAACTTAAATGAACTTCGGCTTCGAATTTTGCAAGAAGCAGCCTTGATTGATGGAGATATGATTCGTAGTAGCGTGACTCCTTTTTATAGTCGCATAGCTTTTTGTCAAGAAGTTCAAGGTTTTCAATTCGAACATCTCCACTGAATTTGACAGAATCAGATTACCAACAACAAGAAGAGACAAAGGAAAACTATTTTCAAAGGTCGATTACTGTAGGGAGTACGTGAGAGGCGAGGGGACTCACTGTAATCAAGCACCCCGAATAGTGAGAGGCGAGGGGACTCACTGTAATCCAGCACCCCGAATAGTGAGAGGCAAGGGGACTCACTGTAATCAAGCACCCCGAATAGTGAGAGGCGAGGGGACTCACTGTAATCAAGCACCCCAGAGGGGGCATTCATCTACTACGTCCACGCTCGTTGCCCCTGGGTAATGCTAAAAGTAGATGTAATTTAGCATGAAACAATGTTCATCAAATAACTCCGCCATAAATGATCGCAACGCCCTCTATGAGTAGTGTTTTGGATTCGTCTCGAAATTACCTTTTAAATGAGCCCCCACTCGCCCTATGTTGCCATTTAAGATTTTCGACCCCCCTCGCACCCCCCCGGTCCCTTTGGAGGTGGGGGGGCGCCACCCCCCGCAGAAAGTAGATTTTTTGAAAAATCGTTTCACGTGTTTCAGCGTTTTTTTTTAATGTTGGAAGTTGTCGAAATATTTGACCGTCCCGGTACATAATTGACACCCTGTATAATTGATAACTTCATAATTATAAGATAATTCTTATCTTTCTCTCTTGATTATACATATCTTCATTGATACTAAAACGTAAAAGAATAGTTAATGTTAGGATTATAAACCATATTACATAAATAAATATGTACTCATATACAGGGTGTTTCAGAAATAGTTGGCCAAACTTTAAGAGCATATTCCACTCATTGTAAAGATGAAAAAAAGTCATAAATATGGATTCGGAAACGCTTCCTTTCCAAGTTATAAACATTTTTTTATTTTATACTTATACCTATATTTTATTTTATACTTATATCTATATTTTATACTTATATCTATATTTTATTTTATATACTTGTATTTTTTATTTTATACTACATTCATATTTTTATTACAGAAATTGCTGGAAATTATTTTCTTCCGCGTCGATGCATGCTTTACATCGACGTCGCATGGATTGTCGAAGGCGTTCCAAAATTCTCGGAGTATTTCGTATTTTTTCACACAGTGTACGATATTCTCTCCTGTTACTGTGGAAGTACTCCGAAATCGTATTATCGCTGCGTATGAAAAAATATAAAATACTCCGAGAATTGTTGAAGGTCTTCGACAATCCATGCGACGTCGATGTGAAGCATCCATGCGGAAGGAAATCATTTCCAGCAATTTCTGTAATGAAAATATAGATATAAGTATAAAATAAAAAATAGATACAAGTATAAAATAAAATTAAGTATAAAATAAAATATAAACACAAGTATAAAATAAAATATAGATATAAGTATAAAATAAAAAAATGTTTATAACATGGAAAGGAAGCGTTTTCGAACCCATGTTTACATTTTTTCATCCTTACAATGAATGGAATATGCTCTAGAGTACGTTTCCATTGAGCGCGTCATGCATCGCGTCGTGAAAGAGAGAAAGATAGAAGTTTATATATATGTATACACAACCCCTCTCTTTCTCTCCTTCGACGACGCGACGCGTGACGCGCTCAGTGGAAACGTATCCTTAGAGTTTAGCCAACTATTTCTGAAACATCCTGTATAAATTTGCAGGCCTATTAATTGGTGATGGGATTGTATTACTTTGGATTGTATCGTTTTGTATAAGGATTTGGAAAACATGTAAAAATGACAACGTGAAATAAAGGAAATAAAAGTAAATTAATTTATTCAACGATTTGTAATAACTCTTAAAGAATGACTCATAGAAAAACAGTCTAAAAAAAGAACCAATTTCTCTTAGAAAAATTGATACAATATATTTATTTTCATTTTATATTTTTCTCTATAAAATACGGTCGCTACAGAAAAAAAGATCGTACTTTTTATGATAAGATATATGCAAATAGAGAGTGCAAAGTATTTAATTAACAAAGCCTTTACATGTATTTAGGCAATTTCACATATCCATAGAATAATACTAAAAACGCAAATTAAATAAACACTAAAGATTAAACTAAAATATATCAAATTGTTTAGGGTTTTAAATACAATTCTAAACTATAATAACGACGTTCAATGCGCGCTGTATCATGTATATATGTCCTTATCACTTAGGCTTACATATATACAGATATTCTGCTTTGTGTAAACCTTATACTTTGTTTATATATAAACCTTGCCTTTTAATACCACCGCTTTTTATAAACAGAATTGCTGGCGATTACAGCGTCTTGTTTCGATTAATACAAAATAATTCGGATTAGTACTTTATTTCGCTAAATAGAGTACTTTAAAAAGCCCGTCTGCAACTGGTAGCTTTACAAGATTCGATGATGACACCCAGTCTTCTTTGATTCGATAAAAAACATTCTCAAAGTGCCGTAGAACATCATCTCGTATCCAGCGAGATTAAGGTCTAAAGAAATAATGACTTTACTAATATCATCCAATTTTCTTAGTTTCCAAAATTTCTCTCATGGAATTAATTCGTATTTTCGCGTTTTCCGTGGGGAAAGCGTCTCAGAATTTTTATGTCGTTTCTCAAAGAGACTGCCCGCAATACCACAAATACTGTATTTAATAGGATCATATTTGATTCATCTTCTATTGAGCTTGCACCAAAGCGCGCTGGCCGTTAGAAGATGCATCAGCACCCCGATACCGAGGACGAGTATCAGATTATTGATCACACTTATATCATTGATTTCCATTTCTTTGAGAAACGTGCTTGGTTTCTTATAGTGACAATAAAATTCGTCACACAATAAGTCCATTCTATCGTATCCGTATACAGTATATATCAGACTATGGAAACTAGCACGGAAGTATGATATATGAAACATCCAGCGGAACGCTTGCGGCGTATCGAAGTAACGTATGCAGAAGCCGAAGATGGAGAACAGTACCGCGATTATCGGGCCAATAAAGACGGCAATCTGTAAAGAATTATGAAAAATTCAGTGTCTTTTTTCTGCATCACATGTAAAATTGAATATTTTTAACACATCCAATCGCAATAAATCCGGATTATATAGATATAAATATGCACATGTGCGTTTACATGTAAGAGTATAAATATTTTTCGAGAATTTTAACCTTTATATCTTTTTTTCCACATATCTCACCTCGTCGTTGACTAGATTTTCGGAATAAGAGTAACTCTTTTTACTCCTAAATACCAATAGCGGTCTAAAATTTTAATTAGGATCCGAGTTACAAGAATTTAATTAATATGCACATCTATCGCATAACTTTAAATCCAAAATAAATTCAAGATTTTACAGTGTTACTTAAAAAAGCAAGCATTCCAAAGAGATTTACCTTAATTGGCGTGGTAACGCCGATGAAGAAACCCCATGCTTGCGCCGTCAGGCTGGCAGCTATGCTAACTACATTGAAGAATATTATACGATTCGTTTCTACGGGCTGTGCAGTCAACCAGTAGCTCACTATCAGATACGACGCCGCACATGCCGCTTGAAAAGGTATCTCGACTAGTAATATGCTGATATAATACGGCGCCAGCCGGTACCAACGATTGAAATGCTCCCTCATGAGAATTTGCATCTCCAGTGGAACTGAAACAAAGAGGCGCATAAACAGAAACTGAATACTCATTGAATACCAAGATAATGATCCCCGAAGTAAAAATTCTAATAAAAAAAACTAGGTAACTACGATGAAACTGCGGTTAACTTGATCAATAATTAATTCATTGAATAAAATCTATACTAATTTATTAGGACCTTGAATAAGATGTGTGTGAAGTTAGCCCCCCTTTTTTTAAAAATTAAAATTTTGACAATTGTTCCAGATTGTTCTGAGTTTGTTCTACATTGTTCCAAAGCGATCTTATTCCAAATCGTTCTCCAATAAAAGGAAAAAACGAATTTTTTTTGCTAGCCCCCCTTTTTTGGAATATCAAACAATTTTTTTTTGCTACAGATTGTTCTAGTTGTTCTAATCATTGTTCCAAAAGAACAATTCCATATGACGAACAGAAATGGCAGAAAACAAAAAAACATTTTCTTATCAGGCACCCCTTCTCTTAATATTCGAAAAATTCATTATCGCGATAAATTGTTCTAGTTGTTCCAAACATTGTTCCAAAAGAACAATTTCGTAAATCAAACGGAAAACGAGAAAAATAAAAAATAAACGTTTTTCAACAAACAAAGGCTCCGACAAAAAGAAAAGGTACAATCTCTTTAGCCCAATGCAGAATTTTATATTTTCAGTTGTTCTAGTTCTGAGAAACATAATTCTGCAATATGAATCATCCAACGCTACTAGTTCTCCCAAAAATCGAAAAAAATCCATATTTTTGCATCAACCATCAAGAGTAAAGGTGCGCTTCCTCTCTTGTTCCAGTCGAGAACTTTTTGTTCTGAGTTGTTCTAGTCCTGAGAAACATAGTTCTGCATTATGAATCATCCAACGCTACTGGTTCTCCCAAAAATCGAAAAAAATCCATATTTTTGCATCAACCATCAAGAGTAAAGGTGCGCTTCCTCTCTTGTTCCAGTCGAGAACTTTTTGTTCTGAGTTGTTCTAGTCCTGAGAAACATAGTTCTGCATTATGAATCATCCAACGCTACTGGTTCTCCCAAAAATCAAAAATTTCGATTTTTGGGAGAACCAGTAGCGTTGGATGATTCATAATGCAGAATTATGTTTCTCAGGACTAGAACAACTGAAAATATAAAATTCTGCGTTAGGATAAGGAGATTGTACCTTTTCTTTTTGTCGGAGCCTTTGTTTGTTGAAAAACGTTTATTTTTTATTTTTCTCGTTTTCCGTTTGATTTACCAAATTGTCCTTTTGGGACAATGTTTGGAACAACTAGAACAATTTATCGCAATAATGAATTTTTCGAATATTAAGAAAAGGGGTGTCGGATAAGAAAATGTTTTTTTGTTTTCTGCCATTTCTGTTCGTCATATGGAATTGTTCTTTTGGAACAAGGTTTAGAACAACTAGAACAATCTTTAGCAAAAAAAAATTGTTTGATATTCTAAAAAAGGGGGGCTAGCAAAAAAAATTCGTTTTTTCCTTTTATTGGAGAACGATTTGGAATAAGATGATATCGCTTTGGAACAATGCAGAACAAACTCAGAACAATCTGGAACAATTGTCAAAATTTTAATTTTCAAAAAAAGGGGGGCTAACTTCACACACATTTGAATAAGTTCTCGCTGATTTTTCGTTAAAAGTAATGCTTTATTTTTAAAAAGTCGTAAAAAACATGTCACTGAAAGTATTTTCCATCGCTAGCCACTACTTTTTTCCATCTTTCTGGCAGCATTTGAATTCCACATCGGAAAAACGACACGTCTTTTGAGGCTATCCAAGAGTCGACCCATTTTTTGGCAACATCATAAGAATGAAAGTGCTACTCAACCAGCCCATGTGCCATCGATCGGAACAGGTGATAATCGGAAGGGTCAATGTCTGGTGAATACGGTGGGTGGGGTAGGACTTCCCATTTAAGCGTTTCCAAGTAGGTTTTCACCGGTTGTGCAACATGTGGCCGTGCGTTGTCATGTTGCAAAATCACTTTGTCGTGTCTCTGCTCGTATAGCGGCCGTTTTTCCTTCAATGCTTGGCTCAAATGCATCAATTGTAGTCGATAGCGAGCTCCCGTAATGGTTTCGTTCGGTTTGAGCAGCTCATAATAAACTACACCCAGCTGATCCCACCAAATGTAGAGCAGAAGCTTAGAACCATGGATATTCGGCTTTGCCGATGATGTTGATGCATGGCCGGGCTTACCCCACGATCTTTTACGCTTAGGGTTATCCTAGTGTATCCACTTTTCATCGCCAGTCACGATACCATGCAAAAACCCTTTCCTTTTCTGCCGTTGAAGCAGCTGTTCACACGTGAAAAGACGCCATTCGACGTCTCTTAACTTCAACTCGTACGGCACCCAATGTCCTTGCTTTTGAATCATTCCTAATAATTTCAAACGTTTCGAAATTGTGTGATCAACTCCTAATGATTCTGCAAGTTCAGCTAGCGTCTGACATGAGTCTTCATGCAGTAATGCCTCCAATTCTTCGTCTTCAAACTTTTTCGGTGCGCCAGAGCGTTCTTTATCTTCAACATCAAAATCATGATTTTTGAAGCGTCTAAACCAATCTCTGCATGTTGTTTCCGACAGAGCATGGTCGCCGTAAGTCTCAACAAGAATTCTGTGTGCTTCAGTTGCAGATTTTTTTTTGGATAAAGTAGTACAGTAAAATTCCCTGCAAATACTCTTTTGTTGGCACGAAACTCGACATGTTTAACACTATGAAACAAAAAGTTGTTTACACTTCGGCGAGATGACATACTCTGAATTTCAAGCTTGCTTATCATAGTTCCTTATCGACGTGTTCCTATCTTCAACTACACGCACGCAGTTCTGTTAAAGCGATCTGTTGGAAAACAGCGAGAACTTATTCAAGGTCCCAATATTAATCCGTGGTAGAATAATTTTTTTGATGTTTAATAAATAGAAAAAGAGAAGGATAATATAATTAGAAATTTTGCTTGAAGTCTTTTTTTTTAATTCTGTATTAAGCTGATCTAATTAACAACCTAATTAATCATAGTCCGATTGAAGTCACTTCTAAAAATACACAGTTTATATATAATGCATCGAAATGGGAAATATAATTTCGCATTTGCATATTGTGAATGAAAAAATTTTATACGCGGAACACAGGAAGAAATAAAATCGTAGAGATTATTCACCACGTAAACAAACGAAATATTTAAATGAATTGCTCGTATAGTTTGATTCTCTATAATTTTTCTATGAACAATCAATCATCATTTTTCTATTTAGCTTTATTCATCTTTCTTCTATATCAAATGAATTGTTCACCGACAGAATTACGCAAGATTTGATGAATTGTTGTGAGAATTTATCCGAACTGTACATTGAGATAGCTATTATTTGTTCAGGATTATCGGGACAAATTATCAAATCGGATAATTCACGATAAATTACTCAGATAGAGCACGCATCAAAACTCTAAAGAGAGATATTACGTTATTAATCACTTTCGGTTTAAATCAATTTTCCTCGAAGCTATAGAGATGGACCAAGGTGAGTCAGGTGGTCGCTCTATGAAATTTAATCACACAGCTATGGCAGAGATATTCGCATTTCCTTGACCTACATCTCAGAATAATGACAGCGCGCTAAGCGTTCACGAATATTACATAGAGTTTGATGCAACAACAGTGAAGATAATTACGGTTGACCACAGTATTTCGAAAGATAAGTAAAATTAGTGACGACAGTTCTGGACAAATGTAATGATTAACATTTTCAACATTTAAAAACAAAATTAAATAATATATACATATATGTGTATAATTATAATCTCTACGTGTATATACATATATAAAATTATGTTAAAATATGTAAAATTATATACATATATAAAATTTTGGAAATCAAATAGATCCGAAGTGAAATCTGTTTCTACTATAGCAGATCACAAATAATAAAATGATATTGAAGTAATGAAAAAACAGGTGAAATCTAGCTTTCAATATTATTCGATCTAGCATGCATGGCGTTGCGAAGGTAAAACACAAAAAAAAACGACTAGTGTGTTTTCGTTCGATGAAGTGAAATTGTTGCACGCTTTAGAAAATAAAAATTACAGCAATTGCAGCATATTGGCACCCGCAGTTAAATATTTCCTCTGATAGAATTCACGAACGTAACACGATGGCAATTAATATATTCGTCGGTATATTCAATTTAAATAAACATCGTATTTATTAAGTGAAATCTCGTCATGATAATCCTGCAAAATTGATAAAGATCAATTGAAGCGTGTAATGGATTACGCAATTGTAATGTAAATATTAAATAAAGTTAAGAGGTAACGCCACTCTAGAGCTCGAAAAAAAGACGTGTTTTTGATCATTTTTTACGGAGATATAATAAAGGAAATGAGAAATCTGTTTATAGGAATTTATTATACATGTTCTGAAGTAAATAAAAAAATATTTTAATTAACATTTTTAAATAAAATGGCGGCTACATGATACGAAACTCGAGACCACCTCTCGAAGGGCCGGAAAAGTTTCTCCCACAATTTTCAATCTGCAACAAAAAACCAAAATTTTTTGAAAACTATATATGATTGGCTACAGAAGTACGTAGGGGATTTTGAAAATATTGAATTTAAAAAAAATAGTGCTTATCTGAAAAAAAAATTTATTTTTCGGTAAAAAAAATTTCACCGTAAATTGTTTATAACAAAAAAAGTTGACAAAATATCAAAAAACCCCTACGTACTTCTTTAGTCAATCATATGTAGTTTTCAAAAAATTTTAGTTTTTTGTTTCAGATTGAAAATTGTGGGAGAAACTTTTCGGGCCCTTCGGCGAGAAGTGGTCTCGAGTTTCGTACCATGTAACCGCCATTTTGTTTAAAAATGTTAATTAAAAAATTTTTTTATTTACTTTAGAACATGTATAATAAACTCCTATAAACAGATTTCCCATTTCCTTTATTGTATCTCCGTAAAAAATTATCAAAAACACATCTTTTTTTCGAGCTCTAAAATGGCGTTACCCCTTAAATTATGAGAAATTAAAAACAATCAAATGAAGTTGAAAAAATTGAATGGAAAATACAACCTAGGCTGTGTTCCAAAATTCATTGCCAGCGCTGAAAATCTACAGTTTACGTTATGTATACTATACATTTTCAGCACTGGCAGTGAATTTTGGAACACGGCCTTAGTTATGAATTCTTGTATATGATGCACGTTGCAGACGCATTTACCAACTGAGTTTATAAAAATCCATAAATTAAACACCTTATAAATAGATAATTCGATGTTATCATCGAGTTTAAGTTACATAATGTTTTTGAAAATTAAAAGATCTAAACGTCTTGGAGATGCTAATCGCTTTAATGACACACCACAATATTATATCAATATGACTAATAGGATCCGTCATTGCGATGATTAATGCGGCTAACACAGCTAATATATCACGTGTTTTGATAAATTACACGTTCTTCTTCTTTATCCAACATTATAAATTATTCAATTTATCGGGACCGAAAATCTCAATATATAGAACGAGGAACGTAAATTATATTTTTATCATTATTTTCATTGTAAAACCATGATAAAATATCAATTAAATTTACATTTACAATACTTACATCAATATATTATTATTAATCACTCATAGAAAAATAAGCATGGACATATTTTTGAATTTTATTAATTTAGATCAAGATATAATTTATAGCTACTTACAAGCAAGAGTAACAGCCATTTTGCCGGTGTAGACGAGAAGAAGCAATGATCCGTATAGATAAACATAATTTGCTAAGACATTAGCTCGATAGCCACTTCCCATGTACAGGTATCCGAAGATCACACCAATCAGCAGATGACAAAGCAATCGCGCCATCAATAACGAGTAGTCTCTTTTTAAGCTTAGCAATTGTCTTTTGTACAGAAGATAACACTGCGTCAGGAAACCGGCGGGTGGTGGCGGTTCCTTGATTCTGTTTGCTAGAATAATACATAGATAATGTAAATCAGCATTTTTTAATGATTATAATATAATGGTTGCAAACTAATTTAATAAATCTTCTCGTATAATTTTGTCAAAGCTCTTTGGTAATTTAATGTCTCGCATGCACAGGAATGTTAAGGTTAAAACAAAAATACAGATGTTTCATAATATGTCTATTAATAAGCAGAGAAGGAAAAAGAGAAAAAATAGAAAGAAACTACTTTGCATATATTTTTCAAGGAAGTTTTTATCATTCTTGCAGATAAGAAAAAAACCTTGTTTATATGAGTAAAGCGTAAGTATATAATAATAGAATATTTATAGACTAAAAAAAAATCCAAAATTAAAACTATCAAATAATTTTAATCTATTAAATATTCACATAATTTTTATAGGAAATAATCAAGTGTATTTATTATACCCATAAAAAAATACTAAAATATTCTCTTAAACAGATAAATTTTGCTGATTTATATAATTATGCCACTGCATTCTATAGATAAAGATAAGAGAAATAAATAAACACAGACTTATAAAAATTTTAATAAAAAATAGCAACAAAAAATGAAATGTTATAATAGGATACAGTATGATCTTATTAACATTTCAAAATATTAGTCATTTATGTCGACTGTTTTCAGCTGTTCTCAGCGGTTAACTTATCTTTTATCTGAATAACATCAATTCCATGGAATATGTAGAGTTTTTACAAAGAATTTTATGGTCAGCTAAGAAGCAACGTTTATGAGAGAAGTTGATATAATTAGATTGTATCATTCAGCAAAATTTTTTATCTGTAACAAGATTAATTTCGCTAGATTATATATTTTTTGTTATAATTTTGTATAAAGCTTAATGAATCTATTATAACATTTTTTGTATTTTTACTCCAAGAAACTAGTACAGTTTAATTATAGTCTAAGACATCTTCCATAAATGATCTGACAAATATTTCATCTACTTAAAATATAAGTTAGATTTAGGATCGAGGTAAAATTTCTGAAAAAAGTGACCTTACTTTCTTCAGGCAAACTCGTGGTAAGAGCGATCGTTTTCTGATCATTTGGTAAAGTTTCCGCCGCTGCCACCAGTTTATCGAGCGAAATACCATATTCGCCGATTGCTACCTCGAGGACTGAAACAAATTTAAGAATTCGATTTAAAAATCATTATTTCCAGAACTATGATTACTCGGTGTTGTGTAGAAACGCGCTTTCTAAGTGAATGTTGCCCATTTCAACATTCGCTGCGCACTTGCAATTAACTTTTATTGAAACACGTTGTTATGGGACGTTGACATGCGATTGTTTTTACTTTGTGTATTATTTTGATGCTTCGCAAATATATAAGCGCTTACAACAGATCGGATTCATAAGTAACAGGCTAAAGAGAAAAAGAGATCAGAGGAGGGATCTTTTTAAAAATAAATCATACCCCCTGCTGTATTTAATTGCATCAACAATATCAAACGCTTTCTAGATTTTAATCATTAACCTACAGAGTTAAATTGTTCAGACTATTGCCTAATTTATTTGAGACTATTACTGCACTCTAGTGTACTGAGTCAACTCGCTCTTGCATAATATCGTGCAATTTATGAAGTCTCTTTTCTCTTTTAGGATACGATTATTCGCGAAACGGAGCACTGTGGAATGCAGCTTCGATCCTTTTTTGCCGGTTATTTCGCATTCTGTTAGCTACGCATGACATTCACGTAACTAGCATTATCAACGAGAGATAGCTCGGACTTAAAATTACCTTATTTGTTTCAGTGAAACTACGTACCGAAATCAGCTGGATTGTGATAAGGCGGACAATGAGCACCGACAGAAGTCAAGTGCGGCAACAACGAACTAACCGAACCTCTATATATGCAGTAACCATTAGCCACCACATACAGGGAATCAAACATCTCCAGAAGCAAGGCACTCGGCTGATGAATCGTACAGATTACCGTACGCCTTTCTAATTCCGCCAACCGCTTCATAAGAGCGACGCATTGGCTGCACGAAGAGGAATCCAGACCTGAAAGGTCAATAATTAATGTCCTAGAAAACGGTAATACACATTCTGTGGAAAATACATTTCGCAATCGCCTTGCACGCAATGTATTAAGCACGGAATGAGAGATTCGAGTACAATCTCCTTGATATCTCATATTCCCATCTTTGCGTTATCTTGAGGAAACTTACAAATTGACGATGTGTAACAAGTATTATGTTTCTACGATGATGCAATCTCAACGATAGATCTAAGGTCTATCGTTCAGGTGCAGTAATATATATTATTAAGCAAGCGTAATTGAGACTAGAATTGAGAATGAGGTAATCGGAAATACACATCGCGAATCGCGAGACAGGTTGTTGCGAGAATTCTGCCAGTTCGCCTATCACGGTATAATATGATCATAATGTCACAACTTTTTTTAATCATGTAATCTGACATGAGTACAATGACGCTCAGTGTAAAATATTAAAGAATTGGAAAGTAAAATATTAATTTGTTATCGCATACAATTATTAACTACGTTACTTACGCGACACGATAATCGTTATTTTTGCCTTTGGCTACAGATGTAATGTGATATAAAAACAGAGATTTCTAATATCGAACAGTCGCGTTACAATGTTCATTATCTGTTTGTAACAAGATACAATTTTGCGATCGTCTGCATCAAATTTATACATATAAAACTTTAGAGATATCTAAATGAAACAAATAGTTAATAAAAACTATGAGCTACCCTAATAAAAATAAAAATCGAAGCGTAAATCGGATGTAATGGGAGTGTAATAAACGAGGTAACAGAAGAATCTTTATTTTAGACCGCATATGTGAGAAACACAATCAATACTAGAAATTCAAAACGCCTATTACGGTCCGAAGCTGGATCTTCATTGCTTTAAATAATTCAATCTTGAATTACTAATATACACTACACATACATATATGTACTTGCATATATACCATATTGTAGTCTTTTCCAACTGCGCGCCGAATTGTTTCTCCGGTCTATAAACGCAATTAAAACTACTGTAGTAATCGTTAATTAAATTGACAAGCAATTTTAATAATTCGATGCTACCATCAAGTATCATATTATAAAGATATTAATATGCTAAAACGGGAGGTATGTAACAGAAGCATAAACGAAACTTCTAAAAGACTTTTTTTTCTTTTTATGACTTTTATTATCCTGATGAAAATAAAAATCAGAGCGTAAGTCGAATGTAATGGGAGAGAAATTGAAACATCAAAATGTAAAAGAAGCATTTATGAAAGAAGTTTCGTTTACGCCTCTTAGAAGTTTTGTTTACGTTTCTGTTACTCTCCCATTACATTTGACTTACGCTCTGATTTTTATTTTCATCAGGGTAATAAAAGTCATAAAAAGAAAAAAAGTCTGGACAGACATAAATCCACGTAACAATAATAATTATCTTTCATTTTTTGTGCTATAATCATTTGCTTGCATATTAACGAACTATACTTATTAAGACATCATGACTGTTTTTATGTATTCTATTTGTCAGTTATGTATGTATGCGTGTGACTTGTGTGTGACTTTTGTGTGTGTGTGTGTGTGTGTGTGTGTGTGCGCGCGCGCGCGCGTGTGTGTGTGGCATAAAATATTCTCGTTCTGAAACATTCTACATTATTAATTAGCTATTATATGTTTCCTACTGAGCTTAATCACAATATCATTTAGCAAAGAAGTAAGGTGTCTGTTTACTGAAATTATTGTACATTTTATCTTCGAAGTATTTTATAGTATTCTTAACGTCCCTTTAATTTAATTTCCGACACTTTTATGTATCGAGTTTTTATAGTGTTTTTTTTATTTCTTAATTTTATTTTTATCTACTCACAATCAGATTTTACATAATCATAAAGCACTATACATTTGTCGTGAAATTATTCAAAAATTAATTAAAATTTCGTACTTTAATTGCTTTTTAAATAATATTATATAATATTAATATAAATATGACAGTTCGTATTTTTATTACTTACCAGTCGTTGGTTCATCAAGGAATAATACTGAAGGATTAGTTAATAGTTCCAAGGCGATATCGAGTCGTTTCTTTTGTCCGCCCGATAATTTTCCGCATAATGTGTCATAGCAACGGCTCAGTCCTAGCATTTCCAAGAGTTCTAAAACCTACATACGTATTCATCGAACGTAAAAAAGAATTACAAAATGCGACAGGGAACGTCTAGAGATAACGGAAAACGTAAATCAAATGTCGTGACGAAAATGAAGAAGAAACGAAGAGTTGATCAGGTCTTTCTCAAGTTTTCTTTCAAAACTGAATACAAGATATTTATTCGTTTCTTTTAAAGAGAAGTCAAATGAAGGAAAAATTTACAACGCAACAATTAAAATTGGTAGTTAATTGTCACAAACCTGAGAATGCTTATAAGCGGAACTGATTGTGTAACCAAGCTTCAAATGAGCGGCTAAAGTCATGGCTTCTCCTACGGTTATGTACGTTCTGATAATGGAGTCTTGCTGTATGTAACACGACGTCCTTTTCCATCGTTCACTATGTGGTACTCGAACCTTACCGTTGACCAGAACTTCGCCACTTACACCTGATACACTACACACCGTCACCGTTACATTTAAATTGATAAAACAGTACTATAATTTACATACAGTTACAATAAAAAAATTGTTGATCCGGATTTCTAACGAAAAATATTGAAAGATGTATATATAAAAAGGACGTGAAGTTTCCATAAATATGTTCACGCGACTGATTTGTCTTAAAAAGTACGATGTACCAGGTATGTAAATATGAAACCGGAATTTTTTAATAGAAAATACACGTTTATTGCATGGAAATGATAAAAAACATTTTATTCGAAGTATTGCCCATCGCTAGCTATACATTTTTCCCACTTGTCTGACAATTTGTGGATGCCATGCCAAAAAAATTGTTGCTCTTTTGAGCCAAACCAGTCATCTAGCCATTTTCGTACATCTTCGTAAGAAGTGAAGCGCTGCTGAGCAAGTGCGTGTCCCATCGATGCAAACAAGTAGTAATCGGACGGAGCCAAGTCTGGTAAGTAAGCTGCATGCGAAAGTATTCCCCAACCAAACGCCTCAATCGTTTCCTTGACCAGTTTTACTGTGTGTGATGGTGCATTATCATGAAGCAAAATCACTTTGTGTTGCCTTTTTTAATATTCCGGTCGTTTATTTCACGCAAAGCTTGATTCAAATTGATCATTTGTTGTCGGTAGCGTTCAGTATTAACGGTTTCGCCAGGTTTTAGCAGCTCATAATAGATAGAACACCTTTCTGATCTCACCAAACACAGAGCATTGTCTTCCGTCCATAGCGATTTGGCCTTGCAGTCGATGTCGATGGTTCGCCTGGAGTTACCCATGATCTTTTACGCTTAGGATTCTCAAAATATATCCACTTTTCATCGCCAGTCACAATTCGATGGAGAAATGACTTTCTTTTGTACCTGGCGAGCAGCATTTCGCAAGTGGTTTTTCGGTTTTCCTGCTGTCTTTCATTCAGTTCATGTGGAACCCATTTTCCCATCTTCTGGATCTTTCCCATGGATTTCAAACGTATGGAGACGGCTTCTCGTGTCACATTGAATTGATCCGCGAGTTATTGTTGAGTTTGAGCGTCATCCTCATCCAACAATGCTTGCAATTCGCTGTCTTCAAACTTTTTCGGTGGTTTTCCACGTTCTTCGTTT